ATACAAGGAGATTTGGGGGGTGCTGAGGGACATGATACAAGATTAGAGTAGAGAGATGGGGTTGGGCACTCATGTACGACAGTTCAGGGAAAGGATCTGATTGGCTCACCTCGGCTTTCCTCCCCAGCAGTAGGTAAGTTGCCATAACTTCATTATACTTATTGGAGCCGAGAGCATCTTTGATCTCCTCCCGGGAATATCCCATATCCAGCATAGTCTCTGGAAAAAAAGATGGATGGTCACAGAACTGACTGGACTCTCTTCTGGGGGGTTTCTTGAAGCAATATGAGATCATCTGCCATTCCTATCATCTCCATTTACGCTCAGTGGCCACTTTATTAGGGACACCTATCCAGTGCTCATAAACGGCGTCCATACCGTCATGTAATACACATTGTGACATATAGATCATTTACAATCTTAAAGGGGCCTAACATTTTCCACCCACCAGTCTGAACGATGAACACTAGTCATGATGTGTCCATGTCTGAAAGCCATACACACCACATTCTGACCCTCCATCGGCACGTCAAAGCAGTAGTCCGGATTCCTCAGCCTGGCAAAGTTCTTCCGATGGCTGGTTGCCTGTTTTCTGGATGTTGCGCCCTTTGTAGTCTCATTTTCTGTTCTTAGCGGACAGGAGGGTCCGTCCTCTTTGGGGTTCTGTGTGTGGTGAGTACAGGGACAGCCTGCCGCTGGCACTGACATAAAGAGATGTTCTTGAAGCCGCTGGGGACGTCTTGTCAGAAGCTGTCCAATCATTCTCCTCTGACCTGACCATATAATGTCCTGCACCTACAATCATCCCATGGGAAAGGCTTCGGAGATCAGCATCTCCCCATTGTAATGTTTGCTCCCCCAGGAAGTGGACCTCTAGATCAGCGGTTCTCAAACTGTGCAACCTCGGGACCCACATTTGTCCTCTGTTCTCTCACTTCCCGATCTACTGAGCCGACCTGTGACAGTCTCATTGTCACAGGTCGGCTAGAACTAGGAGGTGAGTGAGAAGCCCCTCCCCCTCATAGTTCTCCTTTAAGTCGCGACCCAAGTGGCACTGCAATGTCCCATGTTGCGGTTGTGACGACATGTGATCAGTTTATGAGTTAAATGTGTATTGGTGCCGAGTTGTGTTTAAATTATGTTATACTGGGTAACCTGCTTATCAAAAGACTGTCAGCACCCCCCCTCCCCCCCTCGTTATCTCCCATTGTACTCCGAAGGAGCTCAGGACAATGACATTCTGGCCAGGCTCCTGCTATGGCTGTCTGGAGCTGTGTAGCAGGGGAAGCCCTGTGGTGTTGTGCAGACAGAATGTCTATGGAGGGGCAGGGGGGATGTGATGGGATTATAGTTTTAGCTGATCACTTTCTGTATAAAATGTTGCAGTTTCTTAATAAATCAGAGTTTGTTTCACCCTACACTCGAGTCTCGGCCAGTGACTGGGTGGAGGGCAGGGTGTCTGGGGGCCTAAAGCATGCAGACATGTAGATCATGTCTGCATGCTTTAGGCCCCGTTCACATTGAGCGATTTATCGCGCGGTAATTCCCGCGATATCGCGGCTATTTACCGCGCGATATCGCTCTCCAATGCAAGGCAATAGGGCAAAGGGTCCTGCTGTCGCGAGTCGTGCGTCGCTACAGCAGGACCCTTTTTGGAGCGGATTTTGCCGCGATTCCATTCTTTGCAATGCAAGCATTTGCGCGATGTCGTGCGACCAATTGCGCCATATTCACACTGCGCGATTCGCAAATCACGCGTTTGTCGCGCGATTTGCATTTTGCGCGATTTGTCGCGCGATATCGAGCAAATGGTTGCATTGAGCAAGCGAGAGTCGCGGCAAAATCCGCTCCAAAAAGGGTCCTGCTGTAGCGACGCACGACCCGCGACAGCAGGACCCTTTGCCCCATTGAGATGCATTGAAGAGCGATATCGCGCGGTAAATAGCCACGATATCGCGGGAATTACCGCGCGATAAATCGCTCAATGTGAACGGGGCCTTAAGTTGCAGCAACACGACTGGCTGTGTGCCTATTTCGTGTGATGAGAGCTGTACCTAACAAAGTGGCCGCCGAGTGCAGTTACAGCAGCAAAAGCCGCGCGGACGACATTGCATTCCGGAGCCATACAGAGAGCGATGGAGAATGTGTTTCCTCTAACGCTAACTAGATCTGCCTTCCATCTCACCGATACGCTTGGGGTCAGCGTTGTCCTCTTCTGGCTCTTTATAAGGCTTCAGATCGTCGGTGTCGAATCCAATGTTCATCCATTTGTCATTCATGATTTGCTGAGGGGCGTAAGCAGAGAGTCAGCTGGGAAAAGACACCGGTCACCATGACATACATGCACACGGACGGACATACATGCACACGGACGGACATACATGCACACGGACATACATACATGCACACGGAAATACATACATGCATACAGACGGACATACATGCCTACAGACGGACATACATGCATACAGACGGACATACATGCATACAGACGGACGGACGGACATACATGCATACAGACGGACATACATGCATACAGACGGACGGACGGACATACATGCATACAGACGGACATACATGCATACAGACGGAAACGCATGCATACAGACGGAAACGCATGCATACAGACGGACATGCATGCATACAGACGGACATACATGCATACAGACGGACATACACGCATACAGACGGCACTGCATGCACTGACGGACATGCATGCATACAGACGGACATACATGCATACAGACGGACATGCATGCATACAGACGGACATGCATGCATACAGACGGACATACATGCATACAGACGGACATACATGCATACAGACGGACATGCATGCATACAGACGGACATGCATGCATACAGACGGACATACATGCATACAGACGGACATACATACAGACGGACGCAGGTTACCTCCAGAGTACATCTCTTGCTGGGATTCAGCACCAGGAAACGCCGTAGGACGCTCTCGCAGTCCGTGCTCATGTAGAAGGGGACTCTGTATTTACCGCGGAGGACTCTCTCCCTCAGTTCCTGTGAATAGAGACCGCAGACATGACCCAATGACAGCCTCGGCCTGCTAAGATGTACCGGGCCATCTATGGAATGATTCAATTAGGCCCCGTTCCCACTGCGCGATATGCAAATCGCGCGATGTCGCGTTCAAGCTTGCATTGTCGCGTTCAAGCTTGCATTGTCGCGTTCAAGCTTGCTAAATCCGCACCAAAAAGGGTCCTGCTGTAGCGACACACGACCCGCGACAGCGACACACGACCCGCGACAGCGACCCGCGACAGCAGGACCCTTTGCCCCATTGGAGCGCGATATCACGCGGTAATTTGCCGCGATATCGCGGGAATTACCGCGCGATAAATCGCTCAATGTGAACGGGGTCTAAGGAGCGCTTCAGCCTCAAACACAATCTGTCATTTCACCTGAAAGCCCGACCTGCGACGCTCGCCTTCATTACACAGGAACACTACTCGGTGCCGCTGCTTGTCGGTTAAAGTGCATGTATAGCCAGATCTGTGTTTGTAGTTTTGGATAGAGCACGGAAGGGTTAAAGTGACATGAAACCCTCAGATGGTGTAACATAAAACAATACTGTAATGTGCGTCTTACTGTAATCCATGGTAGTTTCCCTTCTCTTTGCTGCTCTTCCTTTTAAATCCTAATCTCTTCTCATGCTGGGGGAGAACTTCCCTTTGCAGCTGAGTGCCTCTTCCTGTAGTGCTGGCTCAGGTTGTGAACCTTCACACAGACACCGTGTATCCATTCCTAGGACAAGGCAGTCTGCTGCAAAGGGAAGTTCTCCCCCAGCATGAGAAGACATGAGGATATAAAAGGAAGAGCAGCAAAGAGAAGGGAAACTACCATGGATTACAGTAAGGCGCACATTACAGTATTGTTTTATGTTACACCATCTGAGGGTTTCATGTCACTTTAAGAACCCAGTCAGGGAGATTTCCCTTCACTTCCTGTACCAGAGACACAGTGGGAAGTAAGAAGGGATCTCTTTAAAAGGAGAACTATGAGGGGGGGGAGGGGCTTGTCACTCACCTCATAGTTCGGGGTGACGTGTGACAATGAGACTGTCACAGGTCGGCTCAGTAGATCGGGAGGTGAGAGAACACATACCGGCGCTCGCTCACTTCTCGATCCTGTCACGGCTCTCTGCCGTGACAGGGGGAGGGACTGGATTCCCCTCTCCCCGCTCTGATCCTCCAGCGCTGGCTGGCGGAACGGACGGGGGAGGGGGCGGGTACAGCTGGCTCTGCCTCTAGATAGGAGGAGCCAGCTGTCACTCACGCAGCTGGGCGGATCTCGATGTCGGGATCCGCTCCGGCTGCGGCGTCTCAGTATACCGCGCGCTGCAGCTCCCTATATACTGAGCCAAGGGTGACGGGAGGACGCTAGTTTGTGTCCTCCCCTGACCCCGAGAACTATGGGGGAAAAGCCCTGACCCCGTAGTTCTCCTTTAAAGAGAGGGACAAAAAATCCTTCTTAGAGAGTTGTCGCTGGAACATGTGTCCCATAGAACATTCCTCCTCACCTTCAGGTTCTGTGACAACTTGAAATTGTTGGCTTGCCCAACTCTTTCTGTTCTGGGGCAATAGCCAACAGGACTAGGAGAGGGTGCGTTCCTCTAGTGGGGACACCAGGAAAAAAAACTTATTAGAAGTTCTAACCCACCATCAACCTATCCCAGAAAAGAAAAAACATTGGCTATACATACACTTGTACAAGCTCCTCCTTCAAACCATTGAGATCTCAGGATGTCGAGAGATCCCTTCATGGATCATCCATATGGAGAAGGAGATCCCCTGCATGGAGCGTCCTGGAGTCAGGAAAGAAGAGGATACCTGTACGGAGTATCCACAGGGGGAAGGAGATCTACGTATGGAGCTTCCTGGAGGAAGTGGATTCAATCATGGAGCATCCAGAGGGAGACTGAGACCCCAACATGGAGCATCCAGAGGGAGACAGAGATCCCAACATGGAGCATCCAGAGATCCCAACATGGAGCATCCAGAGATCCCAACATGGACCATCCAGAGGGAGACAGAGATCCCAACATAGAGCATCCAGAGGGAGACAGAGATCCCAACATGGAGCATCCAGAGGGAGACAGAGATCCCAACATGGAGCATCCAGAGGGAGACAGAGATCCCAACATGGAGCATCCAGAGGGAGACAGAGATCCCAACATGGAGCATCCAGAGGGAGACAGAGATCCCAACATGGAGCATCCAGAGGGAGACAGAGATCCCAACATGGAGCATCCAGAGGGAGACAGAGATCCCAACATGGAGCATCCAGAGGGAGACAGAGATCCCAACATGGAGCATCCAGAGGGAGACAGAGATCCCAACATGGAGCATCCAGAGGGAGACAGAGATCCCAACATGGAGCATCCAGAGGGAGACAGAGATCCCAACATGGAGCATCCAGAGGGAGACAGAGATCCCAACATGGAGCATCCAGAGATCCCAACATGGAGCATCCAGAGGGAGACAGAGATCCCAACATGGAGCATCCAGAGATCCCAACATGGACCATCCAGAGGGAGACTGAGATCCCAACATGGACCATCCAGAGGGAGACTGAGATCCCAACATGGACCATCCAGAGGGAGACTGACATCCCAACATGGAGCATTCAGAGGGAGACAGAGATCCCAACATGGAGCATCCAGAGGGAGACTGAGATCCCAACATGGAGCATCCAGAGGGAGACTGAGATCCCAACATGGAGCATCCAGAGGGAGACTGAGATCCCAACATGGAGCATCCAGAGGGAGACTGAGATCCCAACATGGAGCATCCAGAGGGAGACTGAGATCCCAACATGGAGCATCCAGAGGGAGACTGAGATCCCAACATGGAGCATCCAGAGGGAGACTGAGATCCCAACATGGAGCATCCAGAGGGAGACTGAGATCCCAACATGGAGCATCCAGAGGGAGACTGAGATCCCAACATGGAGCATCCAGAGGGAGACTGAGATCCCAACATGGAGCATCCAGAGGGAGACTGAGATCCCTGCATGCAATGTCCTGAAGGCTAGGGAGATGCAGATCCCTTCATGGACCATCCGGAGGAAGATGGAAAACCCTGCATAGAGGATCCTGAAGGCATGGGGGAAGACGCCTTCATAGAGCAACCATAGGGAGACGGAGATCCCAACATGGAGCATCTTGAATGTAAGGAAGGAGGAGATTCCTGCATGGTTCATCCCGGGGGAGAAGGAGATTCCTGCATGGAATGTCCTTGAGGCCAGGGGAAGGAAATAGCTGCATGGAGGGTCCGGAGGGAGGAAGGGAACCCTACACGGAGGGTCCTGGAGACACGGGAGGTGAAGATCCCTGGATGGAGCACCTTTGAATCACTAACATTGATGACTTGTACCATACACAGCAGAAGTATACCTTAAGGTTCTGTCCATCAAAGGGAAGGGACCCGCTGACCAGGGTGTAGAGGATGACCCCCAGGCTCCAGACGTCCACCTCAGGTCCGTTATACCTCTTTCCCTGAAAGAGTTCCGGAGCAGCATATGGAGGACTGCCACAAAACGTGTCCAGCTTCCCTCCGGGAGTAAACTCGTTACTGAAGCCAAAGTCTGCAATCTTTATATTGGCGTCGGAGTCCAGGAGCAGATTCTCCGCCTGCAGAGATGAGAGACGCAGATAATAATCATCCCGTTCCCAGGCAACATGAGGGCCCATTGCAGCTTCCTGTCCACCATTCTGTAATGCTTCGTGTATCCGAGCCCAAACCCGAGTGATCAGAACCAGCAAGCGGCT